GCCACGTACTCGCCTTGGGAGAGCTTGAAGATGTTCTTCTTGCGGTCGACGAGCTTGAGTCGGCCGTCGGTCGTCCAGACGCCAATGTCGCCCGAATGCAGCCAGCCGTCTTCGTCGATCGCCTCCTTTGTCTTCTCGGGGGCCTTGAAGTACCCAGAAAAGACGGTCGGGCCGCGAATACAAACTTCGCCACGACCCTTGACCGCAATGGCCGCGTCGCCTTCACCATGCACTGTGTCGGTGACGTTATACCTAGTCGCATGTGAGACCACTAGCTGTCGACTAAAGATTTTTACCCCATGTCGGGCACAGAGACAAGCTTGACGTCGGCCGAGATCAAAGGCGGCCCCACGGTGCCAGCATCGAGATCGCGGTAGTCGGTCATATTGGTGGCGCTCGTCGCCTCTGTCATGCCGTACAGCTCTGTGCACGTGCAGTTCAAAAGTACGCGGAAGAACGAGAGCACGTGCGCCGGGAGCGGCGCCGCGCCCGTCACCAAGAGCTCGCATCGATCGAGACCCAATTTGGCTTTGAGCTAAAGTTGCGTGTAAATCGACAGCGACCACAAACAGAAAGCATACCGCGGAGAAGATGAGCGCGTCGTAGATGGCGTGCGACGTCTGGCCATAGGCGAGGTTGGCGAGCTTGGTGTTGAGCGCGGTCTGGAAGAGCCAGGCCTTGATGCCGCCGGCGGCCGCCGCGCCTTCGGTCACCTTGTCGTGAATCTTATTCAGGAGGCGGGGAACTCCGAGGAAGAGCGTCGGGCGCAGCGCCTGGACGTCCTCGAGCAGCTTGAGCGTGTTGCCTTGATAGAAACCAATGGCACCGCCAAGGACAATCATAGTGGCTTCCAGCGCCTGCTCGGCAACGTGCGCGAGCGGCAAAAAGGAGAGCACACTTGGACTCGCCTTCAACATGGCGGCCACGGACGGCGACATGCAGAACCGCTCCAGCATGCCGTGACACGCTGCGTTGAGGCTACCGTGAGTGATCATTGCGCCCTTGGGATCGCCGGTCGTGCCACTCGTGTACCTACACGTGAACGTCAGCACAACTTATGACACGTCAGCATACATGAGCACGCAAACGTCCGAAACACGAACCGTCGCCGCGGGCGTCGACGCACCGGCGGCTTCAATTTCGAGCAGCGTCCAGAGCCGAAGCCCCGCCGCCGATGCGCGCTCGGCCATCGCCGCCTCGAGCGTCGTGACATCGGCCAGAATGACGTGGCGCAACGTGGTCGTCGACGTGGCTTTTGCGAGCAAATTCTCGAGCTCGGCGGAGGTGCAGACGACAGTGGTCACGCCGGTTTGGTTGAGGATGTACGCGGTGGAGGTGACACCGAGTGTGTCGTAGATGGGCACGACCGCCGCGCCGGCGTGGTACGCAGCGTACTGCGAAAGCACCCACTCGGGTCGGTTCTTCATGTAAATGCCGAGGAACTTGTGGCCGTCGTCGGTCGGCTCCAGCATATTGTGCGTAACGAGCCCGGACCCAAAGTTTTGGATACGTGTGGCGCACTACCGATGACACTTTGTTGTCAGATGGATGCATCCAGTCGATGGAATACCTCAGCGTAGGTTTGCCACGTATACGGGCCAGCGACGTTGTTGGCGTCCAGTGGCCGATGCCCGACGAAAGGCCGGTCCGGATACGTGGCAACGGTCTTGGCAAGGCTCTCGACCAACGTCATGGTCGTGGGCAAGGCTTCCTTGGAGGTGACACTGGTGTACACGGGCCCGTGGCCGGGTGTCGCTGAGGCTGCGTCGACAGCAGCGTACATGGCCGGTGGTTCCAAGCACTCTGAGATACCAAACACCATTTTGCACCGAACGACGCAAATACGAAATGGCAACCACGGCAAAAAGTAAGGCGCGTGTATCTGCGTCGACAGTGCATCGCGACATGAACTTGCAAGTTGTCAGCGTATTCGAACTGTACAGCGACGCTGCGGACGTGCACCGGCTGGCGCGCAAGCGTCTTGACGTCCCCACGCAAGCAAAAAATGACTCCGTACTTCTGGCCATCCGTTACCAAATACTTGTTGAACGCAAGGCCACCGGTATGATTTGGCCGACCTTCGGCGCAGCTCTCCTGTCGGCATTTCGGTCTTTTGAAATTTGCTTGATCTTTGTACTTAGCTGGCTGTTAGGCGTCATTGACAAGTATAGTTCAGCTCGGAGTGAAGTGAACACGTTAGCAGAGCTCAGTTGTTAGCAAGGAAGCATGACTTTGGCAGAATTCGCGACGGCTGTGCGTGTCAAGTTTATTTTTGCGTGCGGATGTGAATGTCGAGCGCTTGCAAACGTATCATGCAAAATGGCTGCATCCACCTCCTGCACCAGCGCACCCAATGATACAGAGTGTATATATAATACGTGTCGATATGTATCTTAGTGCTGCATGACCTGCTTGCCCGCGACGACGTCGCCGCTCGCCGCATACAGCGCATCAAGCCGCGCGCTGTACACGACCTTGGCCTGGTGCC